CGGAGATCTCAGCGCGCCCGGAGTCCAGGTTTCAGTCAAGTATCACGCCACATTTGGCTTTAAGCGGGAGTATTAGAGTGTCTTTGTGTGAAGGCGTTATGTTGCTTTTCCAGTGCTTTGTAGTATTGCGTAAGGGATGATTGAATACTTGTATTGTTGAATTCTATGAATGCGACCGGGACTTGCAGTGCAGGAGGGAGCCGCAAAATCTTTGAACTATTGGATAGCCGAACTATGAGTGTAGAAAACAAGGACCCGAATTACCTGTGTGTGGATACCACCTGTTGTTTTGAGCTAGCTGACCTGAGGCAGAGGATGTTGCGGATGTATGCGCTTTCATACTATGTACATAATATGTTGGATTCTTCTTCATATATTGAGTAGTATTTTTTATCGAATTCTGGTACCATACCGGTCGTATCATCGTCTCCGGCCCTTCGGAGCGCTCGCAGTAGCCTTTCAAACGACGTGCAATCCTCGACCTAGACTACGGTCTTAAACATACCTTTGCCAAGTCCAAAACGGATGTTTGCTATTATATTATCTAGCCCACTGTAGACAAGGTGTGTTGAGGGTGTGTTTAGGTCAAACGGCCTGTGCGACAACAGCAAAATCCTAGTAGGCGATTGATACCTTTATACCTCAGTGCTGGTCGAGACATGATATCCCCTACGTTTGATTATTCAGAGGCATGATAATGTGATCTCACACAAGAACCGGCTCTGCTGGATGCTTGGTGTAGTACTGGGGGGCTAATCCCTCAGGGTTGACGCGCGTCTATGGCCCCCAGCCTACGGGCGCTTAAGTCAGGGGAGCGTGCTTGGGGGCGAGTTGACCGCAAAAACGCACGGTTATGAATGCAGTTAGTGATTTATGGTCACTTAGGCGCCCATTGCTGGTTTGTATGGTCGCAATACGGACACTTTCGTATTGCATACAGGCTCAATATGACTGACTTACAGCTCGTACTTTGAAAAAATCCGGAAAATCGGAATGAATTGTTCTTTCAACTTGGTGAGCTTGTGTGATGATTTTCGGTAGCAAAACAGCAATGGACAAGTCCGGAATTGAACCGGAGACCTCCTCAAATCAAGTCACGTGACCTCTTGGCCACACTTGCGAATGAGGCGCGATAACCCCTACACTACATGCCCTTGGATGTATGCGCTTGCTTGGGCTATTTAAGCCGCGTGGGCATGGGCAGCCGAATCGAGCAACAGGAGGCGCAACTGTTAGCACCTCTCAGGTCGCATATAGTTAGTTTAGCTTCAAGTTTGGTGCGCCGCGAGAGTCCAAAGGCGGGGGGTGCTTGTATTCTCTCAGACATTAAGCGCCGAGCTTTTACGACGCAGGAGCACCGTCCGGCTCGAAAACTCAATAAATCCCGTGCTCTAAGTAGCTCATCAGACCTATGTACTAGTTAGCGGCGTGTAAGCTAATAGATACACAATGAGCTAGTGGGGCGTTGCATCTCGGCCCATCTCCTACACTGCTCGGAGAGCTCAGCACCAATTCAACATTTGAAAATATGAGCAAATAGATATCGGGGTAAGTCGAACAGAAAAGCGTAGAGGTAGCACAGAGGTGGCGTACTTATGAGGTGGCTTGAATAATGCATGGGACTTCGAATAAGCTGTGCGCATGCTGAAGCCAGACACTAAAAACCCTGAAGCAGTCGACGCGAACAGTTAGAGTATTAAGCCAAAGAGGATGACACGGCTTCAATAGACATACCATTAAGGATAGTGACACTATGCGGACCTGCTACGAATGATTTGGACCGATGTATGCGTTGGCGTTCGCGGATAGTGCTGATTCCATGAGCTTATTAATATATATTGTAGAACTGCATTCTCCGTGTTGCTGAAAACGCAAATTTGAGTCTGCCATCAGTCTCTTTAGGCTTCTCCTATGCTCTCTGAGTACTTCTCACGTATTGTTTGCCTCGCAAGTCAAGCATGCCACTTGCAACGTTGGGTTTTTGATGTGCAGTAACTGCCCTCACGAGTCGCTAGGCTACTAGAAACCCAAACACTTTATCTAGTGCTAGCGACAGTCGATTTATGTGCACCGTAGCCGCCTGGAATGGCTTTGACATGTTCAACCATACAGGCTGGTGGTTCCTGCTCGCTCTCCCATCTGGAACGCCAATCAGGAGTAGCAGTGCACGTGAGATATTCCCAGGGGTGGCTGTGCCTCAATTATGCCACGTCCTCGTCTACATTATTCGCGCCTCACTTGCTCTCTACCACTCACACCTTACCACCACCACCCTCTCCGCTCGTTCTCTTCCCTACCAATCCCCCTCTAAAATGGTGACGATGCCTTGAGTATCACTATATATCGAGTTGCTAATGTCGGGTTCCGTTCACAGTCTGACTCTAGCCGTCCCTCTTCGCCAACCGGTGCTCCAACCGGCCAGCCTCCTCGACCTGGATCAGGCTCTGCAGTCTCACGACCTCCTGGCGCCGGCCAAGTCCGGTGGGCGCTGAGAAAACTATATATCTTGGATACGGTCGCTGATATATTCCGTGTTACAGCCGCCGAGCAACTAACCAGGCCGCTCAAAAACCCAACTCATCACGCTCTGCGGGTGCTGGTGGATCGAGCAATACTATGCTCAAACTGTACACTGACGATTCGGCTGGCCTCCGCGTGTGAGTATTCATCTCACCACGTCCTCGTGGTTAGTTTGACGTGGCATACTAACATTTTGCCGCAGAGACCCATTCGTTGTCATGATGCTGTCTCTTTCCTTCATCGCCTCCATCTTCTTCCTCCACATTTCGGCAAAACTTGTGCGCTACTTTTCCAAGTAAGCGCTTGAATGTAGACTTGGGTATGTGATTGTATATCCTTGCAGTGCGTTAGGAACGCGCAGTGTAATTTCATTGTTTATTCTGGACTACAAACTCAGCGCTGGGGCACCGGCGTTGGTAGTTATCGCAAACGTCAGCCATGGGACATGCCTCACTCTAAAAGTTCAAACAGGCGAGTTTCCTAGCACAATCTCCGCTTTGCTCAGCAGAACTGCCCTTTGCTATACCTGTTCACGCTCCTATCCCTCGTCTGGCATGTTCTTGCGCTCTTCTGGTATGGCGAGACTCGAACAAAGGCTATCCGACCACAAGAACTGCATTGCGTTCTGAAGGGCGGGTACTTGGCGCATCGCTCCCCGTCGACAGCAATTGAGGACAAGCGTTAGAAAATCCAACAGGATCTTGGCTCTTACTGCAAAAAGTACCGGCCAACTTGGTCACTATCCATATCCTTGGGATCAGGTGAGTGTATGCACCCGCACATTGCATGGGACATCCTACGGTTGCTGAATCAACAAATAAGCTTAGCGCAAGTGCTAGAAACACATAAAATACTTGCTTCCCAATATTTTGCTGTTTAGTTGTAAGCATTGAGTGGTTTGCTGTCCACGTCGTGATCCAAAAACCGACTGATAATGTTTAGCGTTTGTGACTTACTCGTACTTAGCGGGAAACAACGCTGACAAGAAGGCAAATACCTATAGGCTTGTTATCTAAGCTGGTAGGTGCGCCCGGCTAGGACTCAGCTCGCAAACGCATCATGTAACTGAAACGCACAATCCCCTGCGAACATTGGATGAGCAGGTGCATACGATTCGAGACGTAGGCTCACAAGCGTTGGAACCAGCACCTGTTTTGGTAACTGGGTTATAGCGTCTTTAGCCGGGCGCTGTATCGTGCAGTACATCGCAGTAGTGCTGAGGGCTCGTTTTCAAACATCTGTGGTTCTGTTCATTTAATTTTGAGAATTTACCGATAAAAGAGCCTTGACGAGGTATCTACACATACTTAGCAGATGCCCAGTGCAAAAGAGAGGACTTGCAACCCTACATAATCCGATAGAAAGGGGGTAATAAGGGACCGGTAATGGCTTACTAGGATACGTATGGCTCTTGAGCGAGGTGAGCTCATATTGCATCATGAATGAAGTCGAATCATATGCTGCTACCTTTCATAAGAATAATAGAGTCGTTCTTTTAAAGAGTTTCGACTGTTCAATAATACTAATTCAACGAGCCCGCTAACTAGTCACTCTCAAGTGAACTTCATCATTGACGGGGTGACTTACATGCACTTTTGGCACTGTTTGAAACAGCCATAACAAGGCTTCTACGTTTCGTAAACTTACTCAGAACTCTAACACAGTTGCTGCATTTATTTTACAGGTATTGGTTCGCCCTTGCAACCCGCTCTGACGGCTGTTGTAGGTCAAAGCTCTATTCCTCAGATACCACCCCCCGCGACACCCATCCGGAGCAGATGAGCTAATAAGTTGCTACTCTCGCATACAGAAGCTCTTTCATAGATGGTTTATGCTACAGTGCTAATAGCTACTAAGCACACACAGGCGTAGAGCGCTGGGTGGGGGCCGGGAAGCTAGTTGCAGGGGCCAAAACCCCTCTAAGTACCCGTGACTTGATCCAACCCACACCCCCACCGTTTCTGGCTCAAATATCACATATGGATACCCATATGATAGCTCTCATATGTAGCTATCCAATGATATTTATTTCATGATTTTAGCTCGCGTATCTACTGAGCTATGAGCACTGCAAGTCGGGGGAGGCTGAAGTCCGTGTGAGCTTTGGTTATACTGCTTCCTCACTCATTCCCAAGCAAAATAAGCACTCGTAACTGCACAAAAAGAAGTCCCTCAGATCGGGATCGAACCAATGGCCTCGGGATATTATGTAAGCAATTACAGTCCCACGCTCTTCCAACTGAGCTACCGAGGGTTATGTTATGATGCCTGCGGCAAATACTCTAGGGGAGATTGGGGTTTCTCGCCGGGGAAAATTCTCGGATAGCTGAATAAATGGCGACGGCTTTCACAGCCTC